TTCCTTTGACCTATCACCAACCAGCTCTCTCAAACTTCAGCTCTAGCCCAGCCTATCCTACCTGGCACCTACGACCCAGACCCATTGGTTACATAGCATGCTATGCAGAAGTGAATATGCAGAGCAAAAACAGGACCACTTTGGAGCGCGTGGCAAATATGGTAGCCAATGGTGAGATCAAAGAGCTCGCGAAATGAGGCAGAAGTACGCGGAGATCGAGAGTAGCTGAGTAGATTGAGAAATGTCTTTAAGTTCTAGTGCAATAATCAGCGTCCTCCTCGAGCGCTTACTTTTCGCGGTATTGATCGATGCAGCAAAATTATATAACAACCTATGGATTTACAATTTTCCGCGTCATACACTATCCGGCACTGGCCATACCGTCGGCGATGGCATGCCAGGAATGCAACATTGGATTGCAGCTCTTGCAACAGTGGTTGGGTACCACAAGTTACACAAATATTCTAAACTTTCTTTACTCTAGTTATAAGTATGACGAATTATAATTACATCTCTTACAAATATGCCAAACAAAAATTCACTTCACTCCACCTTCCGTCTCCCGATCAGCAAGGAACTGGACAACTGAACTAGAGATGGGCTTACGTGGCCGCCGACCGTCGTTCCCACCAGGATACCTGAAACTCATCTCATCAGATCGCCCTATGGTGAGTTGTGAGTCAGAACAGGTTTCCGCGTTGCAAAGAGATAAGAGTACTGTGCGCTACTGTTCCCGCATTCCAAAATAACTACATTTGGAGATAAAATTCGTTGACTGTTACGTGGTTATAGGCATTGATGCGGGAGGACACACTCCGCGACATACGCATAAGATGCGAGACGACCTTGCCACTACTGCTCTTTATTTCATATAGCCTCAGCAATGGCATGCTTACAGCAGTTCAAGTAGTAGTGAATGAGTGGTCATGTATTGATTAATTGCTCGTTGTGACAACTGACAAAGAAAAACATGACTAGCCCTTCGATTTTATAGGTAGACGACAGTCGTTCACTGATTGTGGCATAAGATGCAGGGATCTAGTATATCTGTGCCAAGTGATATCCTCTGGCTCCTGGCCAAAATTTGGAGACCTTAAGTTCAGAATCAACGATGTTGTGCTCGTTGCTTAGGAATTACAGTCACAAACTTTGTGCTGACATTGCAAAAAGCTTTATAACTAATGATGCAGGGTACTCAATTGAATGCATTGAGACGATATCTCAAGTTATTTAGGGCATGCTGTGTCTCCTCATGTAACCACTTTCAGTTCAGCCATATGACACTCTGACACAATGTTGTTAATAATAATTGGCTAACGACTCAGCCAACGAAATTTACGAAGAATGTGATTCAGCTCATGATCCAAAAGGGGATTTTCCTCAGTGCGCCGACTCAGCTCAAGACTCGCCCTAAGATGATTGACTCATGGGTCGATTCATGCTTCTGCTCGATTCAAACACAACTCTGCCCCTGACAGAGAAACAGAGCCAGTGTCGCGACGCAGCTGTATCCAAACATCTGGCTCGTGCACACGGGGAGGGAAATGACGGTCTCCTCGGGCCCACCGCGTGTGACGGAGCCTGGGTCCATTCGCAGTGACCGGCCCTGAACAGAGAAGCAGAGTTCGGAATGGCGAGGGCCGGAATCGCCACGTCCAGGGAGTCTAAGTCCATCGCAGGAACTCTGAATGGCACGCACATAACGTTCTTCGATCTCGATGGCGTAATCCTTGCTCAACCCGTCCTGAAGGGCCACACCAACACAGGGGACCTGACATCCTGTTACTGGAGAAGATGCGGCGCCCGATCAAGGATAAACGTGCCAAACTCCATGAGAGATGTGTCATTCTGCTGCGGTGCAACGCAATGCCTCACTGGAAGCGGAAGGTCTGTGGGGTGCCGGACGTCTGGCGGTGGGAAGTGCTTGCCACTCAGCGTGCTCACCTGACCTGTCTTCAACTGACAAGTCAAGTCAGTCAGAGTCAAGTCAGTAAGACAAGTCAGTCAAGTCAGTCCTTCTCCCCGCAAGTTGAGAGTCTCATTGCCCCCTGCCCTCTTCAAAGGAGAGCCGAGTCGAGGATAGCCTGGTCGCCAGCAGAAAGAAGAGCCGTGACGCACACAGACCTCCCCGGAGCGCGTGACAAACATGGGGGCCAATAATGAGAACAAGGGGCCCATGAAAATGTGGCAGTGGAAAATCAATGGAGATCGAGCTGCGTAGAGTGAGAAACATCTTTAATTTTTGATGCAATATTCAGTGCCCTCCTGAGGCGCTTAGTTTCCGCGATATAAGCCAATTTAGTGAAATTATGTTGCGACCTATGCATCTACAATTCCCGCACGATGGATATTCTCTGTAGTTCAGTAGCATTGGTTCTGAACCCATTCGCAAATAAGTTGACACGCACATCAGTACAGTTCTATTGGTCTTATCCATCGCTGATAAATGGACAGCACGTGAAAAATAAAGGCATGTTGATATTTTAATCATAAGCCGTTGACGATGCAGTACTACAAAGGGACAAGCGTTGAATTCCAACTTGCCTGCACCTTTTATTTTACGTTATTGCGCGTAAGACTGTAACGAAGCATTATTATAAGTAGCATCGTACCAAGTATTCACTACATTTCTATTCATCCTAACAGAGTGCTAAGAGCATTCTGCTGAGCTGCTGAGCTACTGCACCTGATCCCTATTGTGCTAACTTGCATGCCCAGTTGGAATTCCTCGCTCGTCCAATCGTGATTTTCGACATGTGACAATGCAGTGATGCAGGCGTTCATCATCGAGGAGCAAGGCAGACATTACTATACTTCTGGATATGAAATGCTCGTCACGGCTGCACTGAACAACTTACGTTCCCACGCTTTTCAAAGAAAACTGTTCATTCATTCATTTACCTCGGTATCACGTAATTCTTGAAGTAAAACAAGCTTTTCCATTTGTAAGAGTCCCCATAGTCCCATGAAACGTAAGAGACCGTGCGCGTAGGCAGAGATGTTATTCATGGCAGAATTTTTGTCAAAGAATATCAAAAGTAAACGTACAGCTGCGATATGCACTGGTAAATTTGCACTGAGCTGATTGTCACCAAAAAAAGAGACAAACAATTTATCGGACCGACTCACCCGTAGGCGTCACAAGAAATTCATCTTCTCGCATCGCTCAAAAACGAATCCTGTCTCCGGAGTTTGGCCGGCTGCAGTACCTCCTTTAAACGGAGTGTTCGACATTTGTATGGGGTTTGAACTGAAATGGCTATCTTGAAGATCATTTGGTGCAATGCATAGCCCTCCTCTTCTTAAGACCTACACCCCTCTAGTTTATGAGCTACACCTCCGCGAAGAATACACTGAATAATATTTCATACAGACTATTTCAAGGTTACCCAGGCATCCATGACATCATAATATCGCCATTCAAATCCTGCCGTTCCATTGGTCATACGGCTATTAGGGCCAGACAAAAATGCATCGTCGAGTCGTTCATATCGGATGCTTGTGAGCACTTTTTTAGATATAACGGCCGTAAATTGGCTCTCAATCAGCATTGTGCAAGGCACGATGATGCCGTCAAACAATGGCATATTGAGGGGCATATTTGCTAAATAGAGACACTGTGTTGTCTAGTGCAGTCTTTTCCACTTAAAATTATACCAACAGTTATAAGTGCCCCCATTTTAACATACATGATGCTTGCTTCAATATCTTCAGAAGTGGAACGTTCCTTTTAAAGTAAAGCAGGGAAGCTTATACGTTGTTTTTACCATTTGGAAAGCAGACAGAGGACATTTATTAAGTTCCATATTTTCATAAGCACGTTCATACAAAACAGATAGCTATGTTTGCCGGCTCGGAAGTTTACCACTTAAGTGAAGTTTCTCCTCCGGCAAAAAGATCACGGAGCAGTAAACAAGACTAACTGGCTGAACGAAACGATACGCCCGCAACATCAGACCATCTGGTAAACATGTGACTCTGGTGCCGAACCGGCAGCGTGAAAACTTATTGAAATGCCCTTTTCTAATGCACAAACAACTCATTCAGCTATTGGGATGCTCTCTAGGCGTTCAAGGAAAACATGCCTTTCACGAAGGGGGGCAATTTTGTACCATGTCCACCTATCGGGTTACATCAGGCAGACATATCCAAATGTGCCTAACTTGTGCAAATGTTTGTGCAAATGTGCCTAATTTTAATATCCATTCTTGGTGCGCCGTTCTGCCATCCGCATCCCATTGGTATTCACTAAAGACTGACGATTTTACTTGAGATTAGAGCGCTTTGACAACGCCGTATTCTATAACACTTGATAAAGAGTAAAGCGTACATTTGATGCAGAACATCTCAAACGATCATGACTAAACGCGAGTAAGGAAACACTTTGTGTAGCAACGTATGTCAACAGCGGCACAGACTGCATACGGCTAGGGCTGTGGCTACGCCCTGATCTTGAAAGACGTGAATGACGACGCATGTCGAAAGTCGCATAACAAAACTTAAAGACCTCAGCATGGAACGGATTTTGCTCTCCCACGCCTTCGTCCATTTCACCACGGCACGTCGACCCGATCCGCCGGATCATGTATTGCTCTGTGACGACGGCCCGGTCATCCCGACCATTAACGCTCCATCTGTGACCGTCTGACCCACTGAGCCCCATCTACGACCGTTCCACCGGCTGAGCCCATGTGCGACCTCCGACCCACTGAACCCTATCTGCGACCGTCCGACCCACTGAGCCCATCTTCGGCTTCCGACCCATAGAACCCCATCTGCGACCGTCCGACCCACTGAGCCCCGCGGCATTCCCTTTATGTACGCCCTGTTCTTTACGTCCTGTTTCCATTTCCCCCGGATAAACCGACCTCCTGATCCCATCACTACCCCATCCTTGTGACATACGAGCGTCCATCTCCTGGACGCTCATGCACCCCGGAACCGCTCGCCCTCCCCGCCCAGACGGTCTGCCGCGTTCCGCGGTCGTCGGCGGCACCTACCTCCTCCGTTCTTGTAGCAGAGGTACGGGAAGCGCCACACGTTGGCCAGGTCGACGGCGAACCCGATGACCGAGAGCAGGAAGTCGACCTTCTTGCCCCATGTCTCTCGGCCGTCGTCGCCGGCGGCGGCCGGCACCACCGAGTGGCGCCCCATGGGGGACCCGCTCAGTGGCGCGGGCCGGGGGTCGCCGCCGCCGCCGCCGCCGCCATCCCGCCGACGGCCGCTCGCTGTCGACGACCGACGCCAACTGAGACGGTCGCGACGCACTGCGCCGCGGCACGGGGGCCGGCCAGCGGGGGCCGCTGGCCGGCCCCCGTGCCGCGGCAGCGGGGTCGGCTCCAGAACGTGATGGCCGCAGAGGGGGTGAGCGCCGGCCAGCGCGGGGCCGGAGGCTGTTTTCCGCCTTCAAAAAACACTTAGGGACTCAAGCTTGACTTGCGCTCAGGTTGGCGTGACTGAACTGACTAACTGAACTGACAATATCCGGCGGTAGTAGCGGATCTACCGGCTATCTGGACACCGGCCAGTGTTAGGAGGCAGGGCTCTTCCAATTGGATGGTCTGCGAATCAACAGTATGACATTGATTCCCCGTGAAACTCTGAAGTCACGTGGATTTAGAAACAATCTTGCGGAATTTCATGCCCCGACATCGTTTCAACAGCAGCAAGTTGGCATCGATGTGCTGGCAGGAGGTAGTTTGGAGTTTGCTTAATATAGCTCCACCCGCCTTTTCATTTAAATGGCAAATTTAACTTTGCAATGAGAGGTGTGTTTAGCCACCCACCCCATAGCAATTTATCGTGGTCCCGGCTGGGCGGATTTTAATAACAGTGCAGCCCGACTTAGACTCTGCCAAGACCCATTCCCCTGGCTGAAACGGATTAAGCTGCGCCTCTGCTCAGGCAGAGCTCAGCTTGTACTCAGCAGGGCGTCTAGTGCGCCTATTACCGTGAATACCGCTGCAGTATGCGAGTGGGATTCCACAGAGCTCGTGCAGGCTCCCGCCAGTGTCTGCCCACAGCTGTGTTCGTACGGCTGTGCTGTGTGCCAGTGACTGCCACACAGTTGTGCTCGCACAGCTGTACTGTGCGCCAGTGTCTGCCACACAGTTATGTTCGTAAAGCTGTGCTGTGCGCCAGTCTCTGCTACACAGTTGTGTTCGTGTGGCTGTGCTGCGCGCCGGTGTTTGCCACACAATTGTGTTCGTACGGCTGTGCTGTACGCCAGTGTCTGCCCACAGTTGAGTTTGCGCGACTGTGCTGTGCGCCAGTGTCTGCCCACAGTTATGTTCGTACGGCTGTGCTGTGCGCCAGTGTCTAACACACAGTTGTGTTCGCACAACTGTGCTGTGCACCAGTGTCTGCCACACAGTTGCGTTCGCACGGCTGTGCTGTGCGCCAGTGTCTGCTCACGGCTGTGTTCGTACAGACGTGCTGTGCGCCGGTGTCTGCCCACAGTTGTGTTCGTGCGGCTGTGCTGTACGCCAGTGTCTGCCCACAGTTGTGTTCGTACGGCTGTGCTGTGCGTCAGTGTCTGCCACACAGTTGCGTTCGCACGGCTGCGCTGTGTTGCCAGTGTCTGTCCCACGGTTGCCTTCGTACGGCTTTGCTATGGGTCGTGTGATAGTCGTCACGCGTAGACATTTGACGAGGTGGACTGGGAAGCGAAGCCAAGCGGCATAAGCTGTTCAAACATCCAGACGGGATGACTGCACCTTTGTGAGGGCATCCGTTGCCAATGCAGAAATACATGCGGCAATACCAGGTAAGCTCATGCATCATAGGCATTTGATGCATGCACCCAAAATATTGGGTTTTACATCACCCACTGCATATAACTGCTTTAAGGAACAACTCTTAATTTTCTTTTGTAAAAATGGGATATAGATTCATTTGCCACGTTCCTTTAAGTTATCATTTCTGTGCATGCACAACAGTTGGGATATTCTGCCACAGATGAAGCGAAACCGGCCGAGGCCTTAACAAATGAGGTTTCAGATTTGTATTATTCCGTTTCTTACGGCCACCAGGTGGTGTGATTTTTTTTTCTGAAATGTTTAGGTTTTAGTCATCGATCGATTCCTTGTGCTTCCAATCACCACGGTTAGGTGACCCGGAGTAGTTCAAGAGCGCAGCGGACTAGGTCGGGAGCGCAGCGGAGTAGGTCGGGAGCGCAGCAGACAAGGTCGGGAGCGCAGCGGACTAGGTCGGGAGCGGCAATGTTTCTATGGTCTCTCGGGAGTGCGGAGTCAGCAGAGCGTCGGCCGACCCGGCCGGGAAAATATGTAAGCTACCTAGGTGACTTTCATGGGCGATTCCAGGTTCGCCTTACTGGCAAGTGTAGTAATGCGATAAAATTCGTTTCATAGCATGTTTTTCCTTAGTGCCCAACTAAAATGTTCATGTGCTCTTCCGTAGAAGTTGTCCAGAAAAATTGGTTGCCTTAAACTCCCCTTAGTCCCACTCTCCGACCCAGCCTGGGCCTACTTCCCCCCCTACGCGCCTGCTCTGGCCACCGTCGCCTGATAGTGGCCAGATCGTAAGCTACCTGGGCGGGTCACGTTTTCGATTGATCTCCGAGGAAATTGAAAAGGTAGCTCCAATAATTCGATCGACTACAGATGAAGCGAAGAAAACTTTGAGTGTATCTTACGGTATCTCGTTGCGAAAGCTGGCGAAAGCAGCGGTTATGAAACAAAGGGATTGATGTTTGTATGCGTTGTTAGGTATGATTTGGTTTGCGGCGCAATTGCAAGTGATCGTGTGGTACATATTTTAAAAATAATATCATCTTAAAGTTCAATTCAAAATTAATTTCGAATTGATCAGTGCCTGCTGCGCTGATACTGCTGTCAGGCTGTCGGTCACAAAAAGAAGATGGTGGCTGGCTACTTATGTAGTACGCACCTTCCTTGGTGCTTAAATAGCAGTTGGATGGTGTTCAAAAGCGAAGTTTCTGTTGAAATTAGGAGGACATTTCTGAAACCTCAGCTTAGCAGAGGACTTGCAGTTTTCTAGGATTTGCTATTGAGACCTTGTATGGTGTCCCGGGGAAGCGTCCCGGAGAACCCCCTAGTTTACCTGGCGCTTACTTACACCCTTTAAGCATGCACTTCGTGCCCCAGACATAACGCACGGAAATAATTATTCAGGTGGGGATTCAAACTCTACACATGCAGCAGCGCACCCGCGTACTCCGAACTCGCCAACTCAGCAACAGCTGGTTTACGAGATGAAATATTTTGGGGTTTATTTAATAGCCCGGGAGGTAAATACTCAACAATAAGCGTAATACGACAACATTTGATGTAAAAAACTTAATATTTTGGTGTATTGGCACAGTATTTGTCACATAAAATTGAGCTTCATCTGACAAATTAAGTACAAAGTCGTCTTCATGGTTCACTCAACGCGAGGAAAAATGCGTCTTTAACCTTGACAACGAATCATGGCCGTTGCCTAGCACTATCAGCATATTTTATAGTTGCCTACAATATCACAATTAAAACTTTTCAAGATTGAGCTTTTGGAAGGACAATTGCTCAAAATTTTTGGTAAAAAGTTATATGTGGCTTCAATTAAGCTGGAAGTTTCTTTGCTATAACTGATTAATCTAGTCATGCGTTTAGTCCAGCAAGAGCTAAAAAACAGACCAAATAAGCTACCTACCAAAGGGGTAGTTCAAACAAGCTGTGCGTTGTGAACGGGGCCAATCACTGTTTTTATAGTGGCGTGGAGCTCTCTTGAATAAGTCGGAAACCGATGTTGCCCTTTGCGATTTGAAGGCCTTGTGGAAGCACAGCGTTTAGAAGTACCTAAATTTGTCGGAGAATCGTGGGATACTGGCTGGCTACAGTCATCGGCTGGTTGAACATAAACACTTTCACTGAACACGAAATGCGATTAGCGCAAAACATATGACAAAGATATTATGCTTGCAGCGGCGCAGGCAGGGGGACAGGGGGGGGGGGTTACGTGGCCCCCTTAGGTTCCGAGGGGATTGAAGGGTCCCTCGGGACGGACGATTAATTGCCCGATTTGAGGTACCGGATTTGAGGGGCCCGGGGGGCCTGCCGGAGGTCGTATTCGGGGTTCCGGCCCGCAGGTCCGGGCACTTAAGTGTCAGCCGGGGAGACCCGCGCGCTGATCGGGCCCCCTAAGTCGATAAGGGCAATATGTTGGTCAGGCGCCACCAGTAACGGATGGTACGCTGCGTGTCGGCATGGGCCTGAGGGCCCACTCTCCAATCCCCGACAAAGCCGGGGGCCTCGATTTGCATTGGTCGTGGCACCTTTATCTGTTGGGGCCCACAGAGCCTGACATGGGTCCTGTGTTGGCAACGAGCCCCAAGTCGTCTAAAGGCAATGTTCGATGAGACCCGAAATGGCGCTCGGGGGCCCACCGAAACCGACAACTCAGGGCTCGATTGGAGGGCATAAGGGTCCAAAGGGTCGGCTGTAGTTGACATAAAGGATCACAGTCTGTAGGGCCGTGCCCCGAAATATCAACCAGAGGACTCTTGCGCCGATTGATGACCCACTGAGACAATGCTGGTGTCTATGTCGGTCAGAGACCACTAACACCGAACAGTTGGCTCGTTGTCGGTCTGAACACTGGGAGCCCATTTCCCAAGCAGGAGCGAGGCTGGGACCCACGATTTGCCACAGTCAGGGTCCCTGCAAATTTGTCGGGACCCCTGTGTTGGTCATGGCTTTACAGTGCATAACAGGGGTCATGTGTCGGCAAGTGGTCCCGAGTCGGTCACGGGCTTTGTTTGAGGAGGCCGGAAGAGGGGCCGAAGGGCCCGCTGAGGTCGAAGAATAAGGGCCTGATTGAAAGATCGAAGGGCCTGAAGAACTGGCCGCATGTCACATTATGGACGTCCCCTCCCCCTCCCGTAGAGCGTGACCCCAGGTGTCAGCCAGAGGGCCTCTTGCATCGATTGCGGCCCCCTAAGACAGTGCCTTCCTCCATTTAGGTCAGAGGTCACCGACGCCGAACAGTCAGCTACGTGTCGGCCTGAGCTCTGGGGACCCATTGGCCAAGCAGGGACAAATCCGGACCCACGACTTCAACCCGTCAGTTCCCCTGCAACAATGCAGGGCTCCTTTGTCGGTCAGAGGCCCACAGTGCCTAACAAGGTGTCCTGTGTCAACAACGGACCTCAAATCGGCCAGGGGC